TAATATAATATAATATAATATAATATATGAGTTTTGAAAAATTTCAATTAAACTATATAAAATTAATAAAAATTTATTTAAAATTAACATTTTATATATATTAAACTTTTAAAATATAAAAATAATAAAACACTTAATTTTTTTTAATGATTTCAAAATATATTAGATATACGTCAAACATAGTGGTAAATACACCATTACAACAATGCTCGGACAGAAGGAAGGCTGATTAAAAAAAAGACGTTTGAAAATACAAAAAAAAATTACTAATTTATATAACTTTAATTATTTTTTTTAAATTATAATATAATATAATATAACATAATATAGATTAAAACAATTACATTATATTACATTAATAAAAAAATTTAAATAACATTTTGTATATATTAAACTTCAGAAAAAAAGAAATACAAAAAATGTAAAGAATCTTTACTACTAAAATAGTATAATATAAAGATAAATGTTAATTTAAAATAAGATACATATAAAATAACAGAATAATCATATATATAGTAGTCAACATTTGAAGTGGTTAAAAAAAAGTTGATCAAAGTTGTCCTAAGACAAGAATGCATTTAGGTTTTAATCCACTTCAAATTTTGACTAGTGTATTTTAAGCTATTTTAAAGAATCATTACTACTACGTCTGGACAGAATTAAGGTTAAAGGGTTCTTCTTTCAGACGAATCCAATCGGAGTTATATAAAAAATTGTCCTGGCCCCTCCAAGCCTTTCAATGGGGGTAAGTGGGTGTTGGTTGTCAACAGTTCAGAAGACGTGAAATAAAGTGCGTGCATCCATAATAAAAGGTCCCTCACACGGCTCCGTGTCAGGATTCTGGACTGTCTATGTTCTGTTTTGCTCCTGTTTCTGTTCTAGTGTTCCCTTATTTGGTCTTGTTCCTGTCCTTGTTTAGTTTAATTAGTCATCCCGTACACCTGTGTCTTCCGAATTATCCTGTGTATTTAGCCCCAGTCTGTGTTTGTCGGTTCTTAACGTCATTGTACTACGTGTGTCTCCTGGCTACCCTGTGTTTCCTCCTGTGGATTATTAAAGACTGTTCAGTGTGAAATTCCTTGTTCCTCGCTCCTCACAGTAGGCAACCGTGACAGAAGAATCGACCTACAAACAGTAACCTCCATTTGTATACCCTCCGTTTTTATGTTTCCCGTTTTCGCTCAGTGTTTTGTTTTCCGTTGTTCCCTCATGGATGCCCTTCTTCGCCCGGAATTTCTCCTCCTCCTGCTGGAGCAAAAGCCGAGCGACTGAGCAGAGGATCGCCCCGGACGTAGAGCTGAACCCGTCAGACCAGGTGCGAGAGCCGGCGACAATGCCCGTCACGAGGGAGAAAGCCGCGGACGGTGTGAGCGCGGAGAGGAGCTCCGCCCCCTGCACCACGGCTGAGGGTGAGCTGAGTATGGCGCGGCGAATGTGCCACACCGAAGAGGAGAGGGCTCTAATCCCCGAATCCAGTCCAGAGTGCCCTCCAGTGCCCGCTCCTCGAAAGCGCCCTCAAGTGTCCGCTCCTCCAGAGCGCCATCCTGTTCCCGTGTTCAGCCTAGAGGGGGCTCCCGATCCAGAGTTTAGCCCTGAATGCCCGGAGGCTCACAAATGCCCGCCCTCACACCCGCTCCTGCCTCCTCCACTGCTGTCGTCTGGCAGCCCCTGTGCTCGCCCTCAGCCCACCATCATTTCGGTGCGAGCGCCGCGGGTCTGCCATCCTCCAGCGTCGCCATGGCTGGAGAATCCCTCACCTCCGCCTCCGGCCTCCGAGGCCCAGACTCCGCCTCGGCCCGTAGACCCAGCAGCTCCACCTCGGCTCCTAGCTCCTTCGCCTCCACCGTCACCCATCGAGATCCACCAGCTCCCTCGTCCCTCTGGCTCTGCCTTGGTCGGGTGTCGACCCGCCATCGCCTCAGGACTCCCTCCGGATCTCCGCCTCGGTCGCCAGAGCCCTCGGCTCCACCCTGGCCCCCCGGATCCTCGGCATCCCCCTGGCTCGTTGGCTCTCCGTCTCCGACTCGGCCATTCCTCCTCCATGGCTCCTCCCTCCGTCGGCTCCACCGTGGGTCGCCATCATGGCTGTGGCCTGGGTCCTGCTTGGCTCTTCCTGCTCCGGGCCCCTCCGGTCTCCTCCCTGGCTCCTCCCTCCTTCGTCGCCTCCCTGGTCTCTGTCTGTTGGCCCCCTCCCGGGCGTCCGTCGTCCTCCTAAGCCTCCTCCTTAGTTCCCACCCATTCCCCCCTTCTGTTGTTCTACGGTGCGAAGACGCACCTTCCGGGAAGGGGGCGATATGTCAGGATTCTGGACTGTCTATGTTCTGTTTTGCCCCTGTTTCTGTTCTAGTGTTCCCTTATTTGGTCTTGTTCCTGTCCTCATTTAGTTTAATTAGTCATCCCGTACACCTGTGTCTTCCCAATTATCCTGTGTATTTAGCCCTAGTCTGTGTTTGTCGGTTCTTAACGTCATTGTACTACGTGTGTCTCCTGGCTACCGTGTTTCCTCTTGTGGATTATTAAAGACTGGTCAGTGTGAAATCCCTCGTTCCTCGCTCCTCACAGTAGGCAACTGTGACACTCCGGGGCGTGAATAAAGGCCTCCTGTAGCGAATCCATGCATTTTTGTAAGAAAAATCCATATTTCAACCATATTAAACACTTTTTTCTCACTTCCGCTGACTGTCATACGCGGAAGCCGTTCTGGCCTATGTCTTTATTTCACGTCTTCTGGACTGTTTACAAAAAGCACCCGCTTACCCCCATTGAAAGGCTTGGAGTAAAACACAGGCTAATTTTCATTTTTGGGTGAACTAACCCTTTAATTTGAAAAAATATTATTAATAGTATTCTGAAAAAGCAAATGTCCTCTGAGTTGAGTTGTAATGCTCACAGGAATGATGAAGGAGACGGCGTCGGCGGGAACAAACAGGCTGGCGGCGAAAGCGGTCAGATGATGCGTGCGACACACGGCTCGGCCCACGCTGGTCTCGGGAAGCGGATCCATGCCATCTGTCCGCCACTGATTGGCACTTTCGCTGAAATACTGACACAGCGAGGTGAAGACGGCCACCTCGAACCGGATCAGATCCGGATCGCCGGCGCCGCAGCCCACGGTCACGTTTATGAAGTGATCACGCGTGGTGTCATAGGACCTGATGGAGAACACAAATCAGAAATTAGAAGAAAAAGCTCATTTGTGTGTATTAGTGGTGCGGAATCGCAAATGCTTTTATTTTATTGGCTGAAAATCAAAACCATAATTTACTAAATGAATAATTTAGAGTTTTATATCGGACAGGATGAGCCGCTCTCTTTGTGTTTTGTGAAACACTCATCTTCACTGCTGATACTGATGAACAAGTCACTCAGCAGGTTCTCCTGTGGCGGCTGATGTTGATTTTAACAAACAAAAGTGCCGCCCGCTTCTAAATGCATCATTTATTAAAGATGAATGGCCTAACATCAACATGCACTTCCAATATTATTCAGCCATATACAGCAGTGAGAAACATCAAAACATTAGCAAGAGCCTTACTTTGGAGACAGGAAGAAAGTGTAGAGTCGGTGGTCCAGGTCCCGCCCCCGCGTCATATTGAGCGTGATGCGTTTCCTGTCAGTGCTGTTGTATTCATTGGGCCATTCGGAGGTGTGCAGATAGGCTGTGATGAATGGATCCAATTCCCGCTTCTCTGGAGAATCTGAGGACACAGGGATGAAAAGAAATAGGTGTTAAGAGATAAATCAAAACAAGAAACACTCAAAAGGAGGATGAATTTCCCTGAAAATGCTATTTCCCCTCCGACGGGAAGAAATAAAGCTGACCTTTACAATACATTACTATACATACATTACACTGACCATGTGCTGTAATAACTAGTAATTGTTCCAATTAGTTGACTAGTTGGTTTGTTTGGCTAAACTAAAATGAACCTGGAGGGGTTCCTGTAATAAAGCTAGAATTAAAATAGATAAATATTAGGTGAAAACTTAAACAAAAATTACTAAAAGTGAAACACTAAAGTTACTAAACTGAAAAAAATAATAATTTCAAGCTAAACAGAACTATTTTTAAAAACAAAAAATGACAAAAGCATATACTTAAAGTATAATAAAAAAAAATTAATAAAAGCTAATTTAAAATATTAAAAACCACTATAATATATATATATAT